AACTGGGAGGAGGGTAGAGAGAATAGTGCAACAATGAATGAATGGAAACCCAAAATCTCTGTAAATGTTTATGAAAATTAATAAAATATAATTATAGGGGAAAAAAGCACAAAAAAAACCCAAAGTGAAGGTTTCTAAAGGACAGCAGAGCAAGGTAGGCAGACAAGGGTCAGACCAGAAGATTCACTGGTAATGGGTTACCATTTAGAATGGACAAGAAAATACTGCAAAATCACCAAGAAAAATCTAGCAACACCTATTTTAAAAACTGACAAATTATAGAAATGGACAATTCTTAGAAGAGGAAAGACAAGTGACTAGTAGGTATAGGAGGAGACATTGAATATCATCATACCTCATTAAAGTGTCAATGAGCAAGGATGTCAGTTTAAAGACTAAGGTGTGTCTGCTCCAAGCCATGATATTTTCAATTGCTTCCTATGCACATTAAAGCCAGACTATCACTAAGAAAATCCAAATAAGAATTGATGTCTTTGAATTGTGCTGGCAAAGAGTGTTGATTATATCATGAACAGCTCAAAGAATAAACAAGTCTGTCCTGGAGGAAGGGCAACCTGAGTGCTCCTTAGAGGCAAGGATGGTGAAGCGTCATTTCACATGTTTGGGGCATGTTGTGAGAAGGCATCAGTCCTTGGAAAAAGACACCTGAGGAAAAGACATGCCAGGGAAAGGAAAGGATCAGTGGAAGAGAGGAAGATGTACAACAAGATGGGTTGGCACAGTGGCTACAATGGGCTTGAGGATGCAGAGATTGTGAGAGAGATGCAGGCTAGGGCCTGTTGTTCATAGGGCCACTATGAGTCATAGTTGATTCAACAGCACCTAACAACAGTGTTAAATCACATTAAATCAATAATAGAAATTGATTCAAGTTTATTAAATATGTTGTTGTGAACTGACCCATAGCTGACCCTTCAGAGGCAGTTAATTGCAGAGGAGGAAATTGCCCATCCTTTTCCTTGGAAGCAGCTTGTAGACTTAAACCACAAGGCAATAGTTTTACTCTCAAAAAAATTCATTACTTTCAATATGGAAACAACTCATAGCAGACCCTCCAGGGGGTTTTTGGAGGCTATAAACTGAATGAAAGGTCATTGTTCACCTTTCTCCCATTGGGGTCAGAAATAGTGAAACATAAATTATAACAAAATATGTTGATTTCAAAAACCTTATGTCAACTGGCAGAAGTGAGAATCAAAATCAGATTTACAGCATCATATCACGGTACCAGGAACCCTAACTGCATAGTGATTATAACCAAAGGGTGAGCAGTTTGAACCCACTAACTTGTCCATGGGAGAGAGATGACTAGTCTGCTCCCACACAATTCATAGCCTCTGAAGCCCTCTGAGTAGTTCTACTCTGTTCGACAAGGTCAACAATAAATTGGAATCAACTTGACAGCAATGAACCTTTTTGGAGGTGGAGGTGGAGGTGGAAGTGAAGGTTATCACTGTATGAATTTAAAATGCAAAAAATACCCTTTATACAAATATATTTTAAAGACCTGCATATATGTAAAATATACACATAAGAGAACAAAAATCAAACCAGTTGTCATTTAAATTAATTCCAACTTCTGGCACCCCATGGAGTTTCCAAGGCTGCAATCTTTCTGAAAAATCACTGGGTCTTTCTTCTGAAGCATCTCTGGGTGAATTCAACTGTCAACCATCAGCAAAGTGCTTGGCAACATGTCAAGGGTCACACACATACATTAAACATATGGAGATGAGTTCCGGGAGTGGGGAGAGGAACGGAATTTAAAAGGACAGGATTCTTAAACAATAAGAGTAGACAGATAGTGTTCTCTCAGAACAGAGTGAACAATTCAATTCAATGTGCTTCAAGTCCATACAGAGAATTGTAAGAGAAGAGAGAAAAAGCAGAAGATAGCCACTGCCCTGCTTTCTCAAAGGAGAAATGGTAAACAGTTCCTTTTCACTCTTTCTTTCAGAGCAAGATTCAAAGAAGGAAGACAACAGAGCAGTCCCCTGCGTAAACTATGTGTGCACATGTGAACACGTGAGGTCCTGCAGGATCATAAAGCTAATGTAGCAGCCTCTCCAAAGATAAGAGCACCCCTGGAGGTAGGAGAAAAGCAAATCAGAAGCAGAGCAGGTTCTCAGCATTCCCCTGACCTGCTGCTTGGCGTTCTCCACCTCAGCCGTCAGCCTCTGAATCAGACGGTTCAGCTCGTTGAGTTCATCCTTGGTTCTGCGGAGGTTCTCTCCCTGCTGGGTCACTGTGGTTTTCATCTCCTCACACTGCAGATAAAGAGACAACCAGGTGGACACAGCTAAAGATTAGAATGTGACAAGAGCATCAGATGGATGTCCCCACCCAAAGGAACCAGCCCACAGTTCTGCAGCAGTTCACCACCTTCCTGCTTACTCAGGCTTCAGCTGCAATCTCTCTACAGAGCATGCATGTACTTCCCAGGGAAGGTGCAGGTTCATCACGATCTTTCATGCATATAGGGCCCCCTGGTGTTAAATATAACCCCAGCTCTACTGCTCACCTTGGTTTGGTACCAGGACTCAACCTCAGCCCTGCTGCAACTGGCAATGTCATCATATTGAGCTTTGATCTCAGCCACAACCGAGTCCATGTTGAGCTCTCGGCTGTTGTCCATCTTTACCACTACAGAAGTGTCAGAGATTTGTGATTGAAGAAGACAAATTTCCTACAGGAGACAATAAATTCCCTTAGTTCCAAATCCTCTTCCTATTCTTCATCATCACTTTTTTAAAAATCCTAAACCTGAAACCATATTAAACTACCAGTTGTGGTAGTTGTTATGTGTCATTGAGTCAACCAGGAACAACCCTATGAACAGAAGAAGTTCTGCACTTGGCCCTATCCTGAGCCAATCTCACTGACCCCATTACCCCAGTCACTGTCTCAATCCACCTCATCCAGGCTCTTCCTCTCTTGCGCTAACCTTCTACCCTTCCAAGCGTGATGGTTTTTCTGACAAATTCTGACAAAGGACTGATTGCTTCTGACTAATTGCCCAAAATATGTGAGATGGAGTTTAAAAATCCTTGCTTCCAAAGAACAATCTGGTTTTACTCTCTCCAGGACAGACCTGTTTGTTCTCTTGGAAATTCATGGTATGTTCGATACTCTTCTCCAACACTACAATTCGAAAGCATTGATTCTTCATCTGTCATCCTTAGTCATTGTCCAGCTCTCAGATTCATAGCAAGCATGGGTTGGATCAGGCATACCTTAGTCTTTATAGTGAAATCATTGCTCTTTAGCACTCTCTTATATGAGCTCTAGTGGACTAGTGGTAAGGAATCACACTGTCAACCCAAAAACGTGCAGTTCAAGTCCACCAACTGCTTCATGGGAAACTGATGGGCCATCAACTCCTGTGTAATTTACTGCCTCTGAAAACCTACTGGAAGATCAGCTATGAGTCGGTCCACACAAAAACAAACTACCAGTAGTTCAGGAAAACTTCAAAAGCATGGCTTTCAGAAAAGACTGGGAATGTGTTTGGACCATGGACTAAAGCCAATGTTGTTATGTGCCACCAAGTTGACACTGACACATCCTGACCCAACAGCAGGTTTTCAGAGGCCGTAAATCCATGGAAGGAGATTACCCATTCTTCTTCCACAGAGCAGCTGGTGGATTTGAACTACATGCTTTGGGTTTACAAGACAGCTTCTTATCAATAAGTCTCCAGAGCTCCCTATGAGGCAATGAGTAAGGTGGATTTCTACTAAAGCCTGACTCAATAGAGGCAGATTATCTGGATCCTTTATTATCCAGATCAGCTGGCAGTTGTCCATAAATCTCCATTGGTAAATAAAGGTCAGATTTAAGTCTTTGGATTTCTTAATTAGGATTTCACACTGTCTGAATTAATGATGTAATTGTCAACTCACTGTTCATACTATGCTGTGTGGATAGGGAATTACTCATAGTTTTTCAAGTTATTTTAAAATTCTCCGTTTTGAAAGGAGAACTAAAGAAACTAACAAAGGGGAAATCACCCTGATTACAGAAGGAAAAGGTGTTCAGGAGTTAGCAGAATAAAGAATTTCCTTATCACCAAAGATGTGGACAGGCCACACCCCAAGAAAACTTTCTCCTGCTTCTTCATTCACTTGCTCTTCTAGAGGTGGAGAGAGACGTACCTCCTGATAGAGAGACTGCAGAAAGCCAATCTCCTCCCTTAATGTGTCCACATTGGCCTCGAGGTCTGCCTTGCGAAGATAAGCACAGTCCACATCCTTTGGAGACAAGAGAGGAAGGAACATGGGAGAAGCACCCATCACCATTTCTGGCATCCGCTCCACCCCTATCCAGGCAGGTCTGTGGCCGTCTATTGGCCCCTCCATCTCTGGCCAACCCCATCCATCTAACCCTCACTTTTCATGTCTAATTTTGATCTCTCATCTTCATCTCAGGGCTCCTCTAGCAGGGATAGGACCTCTAACGTCTGCCTGCCCATTGACGTGATCTCTCAATGCAGGAATACGAGTAGGACCAAGAATCCTGGAGAAAGGCAGAAAAGTCTGACCTCTTCAGAACTGGGAACCGTGCTAAAGAGTGAAACCTAACACGAGAGGCCAGAATGACATTTTGCTGCCTCTAAGCCAAAGTATCCCACAGGAAGAGAGGGGTCAGCAGAACCATGTTCCCGACACATCTCCCAGAGCAGTCAACACCTGCCACCAAGTAGCTGACTCTTCTGCCTGAGATCAAGGTCTCACCTCTATGGACAGATTCCTCTTTCCATTCAGAGCCCCTGGACAGTACAAATGGTAATGTACTTGGCTGCTAACCAAAAGGTTATTGGTTCAAGTCCACCAGACTTGAAAGAAAGACTTGGAAATCTACTTTATAAAAGAAGAAAAGTAGCCACTAAAAACTCTGGGACACAGTTCTTCTTGGAAGCACAATATGAGGGCACCCTGAGATAAAGTTAACTTGACAGCAACTGGCTAAGTTCTCTCCATTCTACGATCAATCACAACTAACATGGCTGGTAAACACATTATTTAATATACACTTTCCTTCATCAGCATGACACCAAAAGAAGAGTCATTACAATTTTTCTTTACAGCTTGTTCATCCTCTGCAATTGTACTGAATGAGATCCATAATATATAAAATCTCTAGCAAGTTGAGAACCACCAATCCCTGATTTGGTCTGAATAGAGGAGACCAAAAACAGATTGAAAGACAAGCATTTCATCTAATCAGTTCTAAAAAGCCAACTAGCAACATGATGAGGTTTTCTTTTAAGATACCTCCATCAGCACAGTGTGGGTCCCTATACAGAGGCCATGTGGTGCCCACAACCAGAACCCACAAGTTTGATGTGCCATCAAATGTCTTCCAACCACCAAACTGACAAGTGCAGATATGTCAAATATCCAAGGGCCAATATTTTATTCTTCCTGGTGTGGGAAGACTCACTCACCTTCTTTAGCACCACAAACTCATTCTCAGCCGTGGCCCTAAGTGCTACTTCTTCTTCATACCTAAAGACAGAAGAGGGAACACCGTTTGAAATGTTCCTGCACTGAGGACCTTGGGCTGACCAGCTAAGCTCTTGGCTTTCAAAGCTCCCTGGTCCGGTTCTTGACTTTCTGTGTGCCTTGGAAGGAAAGACTGGGTCAACCATAAAGAATCCATCAAAGGATATTATCTGGAATCCATGTCCTTGGTATCTGGTCCTAACTTTGACTTCAGTATCTATAAAAACTTAAGGCAAGTCTCTTAATCTCTCTTGACATCTTGGGTTAAATTGCCTCATCTACAGTAAATCATTCAATAAATGTTGCCAGAATGAATGAAAAACCAGACTCTTCAAGAGTACATTTAACCCTGCTGTTGTTAACTGGCATTGATGGTGACCCCATGAATAATAAGATTGGGCCATTGTGATCTGTAGGGTTTTTACTGGCTGTTTTTAGGGGGAAATCACCTAACCTTTCTTCCTAATATGCCTTAGTTTGGAAGTTCCACTGAGACCTGTTCATATCATTACAACACAGAAACCTGCCTGGCAGATGGACATGGCTGGACATTTGATGCATCAGCCAGAAATCAAACCCAGGCCTTCCACGTGGAAGGCAAGCATTTTCACACTGAGCTCCCATTTCTCCCTTTTTGGTTGAAACTGTACAAGACTAAAAAGCTCTGTGAAGTTGCCTTTATGATGTTCTGTTCTCCTGTCCCCAATATCCAAGTCTGCAAACAGTCCATGGGCTGGAATCTTGCATTGGACCCAAACCACTGGGGGCATTTTCCACAGCTCTTCATCAGCCTGGTTTCTCTTGTCCATGAGGCTTTATCTCTGGAGCAGCCCTGTCCCAGCTGGCCAAGAAGACCAGAGTTCCCAGAGTATGTGTAGTTTTCATGACATTTTAATTACAGGGTAATTTGGGCTGCTATAAACTCTACCTCTATAATTATTGGCCCTAACACCCCCATAGTGGGAGAAAGACTTTGACACCTATGAATTGGGAGTTATATCTGCATTTGCATCACCCTAATCTCTGGTGACCTAGTGGTAAGAAGCTATGTTTCAGTCCTGAAGGCACGTGGTTCAAATCTATCAACTGCTCCTCAATTGACTTCCTTTGAAAGCCCACTGGAGGATCAGCTATGAGTCGGTTCTGACTCACTAGTACACAACAACAACAACAAGCAAATACAGGAAATTCTGGTGGCCTTATTGTTGTTGTGTGCTGTCAACTCAGAACCAACTCATAGATGACCCTCCATTGGGTTTTCAGATGCAGAATATCACCCAGGAGGAGATTGCCCATCCTTCTCCTGCAGAGCCTTTGCTAGATCTGAACTGTTACTTCTGGGATTGCAGCACACCTTCTTACCACTAGGTCACCAGAGATGGCCTAGTGGCAGCATTCGTAATTGTGCTGTTAACCCAAAGGCATACGGTTCAGATCCACCAGCTATTCCACAGAATAAAAATAGACAATTTCAACACATGCAATCTATAGCCTTTGAAAACCCACTGGAGGGTCAGCTATGAGTCAGTTCCAACTCAAATGCACACACTACTGCACCTATCTCAGTGTTAAAACCTGATCTTCCCAAACCAGAATTACAAGGAAGGTTAAAACTATCAGACGGGTTAATGCCAAAATCATAACTCACTCTGTCTCTAACTGCAAGGTAAAGAGGGTCAAGTTGACAGTAACTCAGTGAGTATAGGCTGATTACTGAGCAAACTAAACAATGCAGGGTAAAATTAAAGATTTACACTGTGGAGCCTTGTAGAACAAGGACCTGGGTGAGTAGTGGAGTCATCCAAGTTATCTTGAATAATATCAGATGTATTTTGAAATTATTTCTTCCAAGGCCTTTCTCTTTCAACCCACCATAGCACAGACTTCTCCCAAGCCCTGCTCCTGAGTCCTGTTGGCCCAGCTCCTCCTGGTCCATTTGCTTCTCTCAATCCATCTCTGCAATTTTGCTCCCTGCATTTGTGTTACACCTTGTCCAGACCTGGAGTTTTTCTATTCAACAAAAATTTTTTTCTGCCCCCTACATAAAGCAGAAGCCAAGACAAAATAGAGTAGACCAAAGACATGACATAAAACAATCTTATAGGTAGTCTGGGATGAATTTGACCTCCCACGATCTCCTCCTTTGGAAGAGTTATGAGGACCCAACCAGAGATCTAATCCCACTGCCTGTAACTACCCCAGCCCCATCATACTCACCTCTTCTTGTAGCCCTCCAGCGCCTCCCGCACGTGGTTGAGCTCTGAGGCCAGCCTCCCACTGTCGGCCTCCACACACTCAGTCTCCCTCCTCAGCGTCTCAATGTAGCCATTGAACAGCGGCTCCAGGTTGCTCTCACAACAACGCTGATTCTGGTAGAACTGCCACTTGGTCTCCAGCAGCTTGTTCTGTTGCTCCAGGAAGCGCACCTGCCGGCCAGGGTGGAGAAAAGGACTGAGAGGGAGTCCAAGCATGTGTCTATTCTCCCAGAGCTTTCTTTGCCATTGGTGGTGACCCCTGGACTGAAGCATTCTGTGACCTTCTTCGAGCAGCCAAGTCATTTGGCAAAGTCTGAAAATGCAGGTCCCAGTCATTCTCCCAAGTGGTTTCCTCCAGCACCTGTCCACCTCCCAGAAAAAAGCACACAATTCACGGAACCATGTTTATCCTGCACAGAAAGAAGTAATATCTGATCCCGGAAAAACACTCCAATTGTTACAGGCTGAGTAATGGTCCCCCAAAGAGATACATCCCCTAACCCCTGGAACTTGTGAATATGAGGAAAAGAGCCTTGCAAATGGAGTTAAGATTATCGAGCTGGAGATCGAAACACTATTCTGGATTATCTACATGGGCCCAATATAGTAAGTCACTCGAGTCCTTAAAAGCAGAATAAGGCAGAAAAGCAAGAGAGGCTGGAAAGGGGCAGGCAGAGGAGAGCCTTAAAACTTGGCTCCGCCCACCTCTGCTGGCTTTAAGATGGAGGGAGGGGAAGGCCGATAAGCCAAGGACTGCAGTCAGCCTCCAAAAGCTGAAAACCATCCTGTGGAGCCAGCCAGCAAGTAAACAGAAACCTCCATCCTGGAACCAAATGAAACTTGATTTTTCTAAAACCCTGAATGTACGTGAACGTGGATTCTCCTCTCCAGAAGAAATGCAACCCTGCCAATACCTTGATTTTGTCCTTACGAGATAATAAATTTTAGGGGTTTTTAAGGTGCTGAAGTTGTTAATCCAACAATAAAAAAAATACCAAAACAAAATCATCAGGACCCACTCTCTCAGACCCAGAGACGCCTATAAGGGGGAACTCTGGATGAGAGCTAAGGAGCCCTCTCACTGACCTCTTTTTGCCCCCAGCCAGGCCACTCTGCCTCTATGAGACTCTGATCTAAATCAGGTACAACAGGCCTAGATCAGAAACCACAGCCCAGCAGCCCCCAGGTCCTATGTGACCAATAGTCATGCTCCCTTAGGCCAACACATTGTTTGATAAGCGTATGAATTAGTTACCAGCATTTCATATTTGAGTGATTTCAGGCAAGAATCTAGAGTTTTGTCTGTTAGAAATTTAATTATGTCCCCAAAATAAACATGTAGTGGGGTCCTAAACCCGATATGTGGATTTGAGATAGGAAAGAAGCCACAAAAAGCAAGTCAAGGAAAACAAGGAGAGGTTGATGTCATGTGAAGATCACCAAAGAACCAAGGGGCCAAAGCTTGAAAGGGACAAGGGCCCCCTCCTAGCCAACCAAGAGTGGAGCTTTCCCCTAGGACAGTGCCTTGATTTCAGACTTCTCATTTCCTAACCATGAAGAAACAATTGAGTTTACTCAGGCACCAATGTGCGGTCTTTCTGTTACAGCAGCAGCAAGAAATGAAGACATTGATGTGCTAGACCAACCAGAAGCTCCAGCAAGGCCCAGACTGTGTCTGGAGATGAATAGGAGCACCCTCAGCTTGAATTCATGCACATGACCTGCTGGCCCCTTTGGAAGTTTGATGTTACCAGCCCTAAACTAGGTGATTTCTTCCCCGGCTCTACTTCCTGGGAATGCAAGCCTGGTGCAAAGCAACTCTCACTGGCCCATGCCGGTGGGAAAAGAAACCAAAGCAGGCCCAGAGGGCAGGAACTCACTTTGGCTTTCCAGCTCTGCAGGACACAATGTCAGTGTAGTTTACACTCCTGGAGCTTGTCCTGAGGATGGACACTGACTTTCAGCAACTCCAGAGCAGGGGAAGCTGACCTGATGCCGTGATCTATGTCTCTTTCCCCAGACTCAGAGCTGACCTCTCACAACAGAAGGTGCAGCATACATTGGTGCTGCTCAAAAGAATGTACACTAAGATCTTTCTAGAGTGTGTGCTCAGACTACTCACTGTACTTCTGAACAAAATTGAGAAAGGTCCCCCTTCCAGGCAGATGCAGCACCCTGCCAAGGGCACCCAGCCCAGTCAGCACAGCACAGCCTGGATTTCAATCTCTCTACTCCCACCCTCGAGGCTGAATGTTCTTATGAAAGGAGTAACCACTTGTAAGTCAGCTGTTTGAGCTTAGACAGCTGGCTGATGGATGCCCAGACCCTCTGTCTACAGACAGGCCTATTGCTGATGATGGTATCTGCCTCCCTCCCCGTGAACACCCTGATGTGTCCCTTCTCCCACAGTCTTAGGTATGGACACACACAGCATTCTGTACTCAGAGATTAGTCTTTTCCCCCTTTATACTTTAGAAGCTGTCATCCTCCTCCAAAGACTAGTGCCCTCAGAAGAGATATCAGTGTGGTTTATAGAACTGTTAAAAATTCCATTAGAAAAAGAGCCCAGAAACTTACAGCAACAGAAAAGTGCAACTGAGTCTTAAGTTTCCCAGATATCTGCCTTTAATCTATGTGAGTGTGTATCTTGGGCAGAAGACCTGGGAGTTCACTGCCTTCTCTGTGATGTTCCCACCAAAAAGAGTAGGAAAGAAGGCTCGTCCTGCCTGGACCTGACTCCCCTCGTCATGCTGAGAAGTCATGTCATCTGAGAAGGAGATCAAACAGCAAACTAAGCTAAGATGTCCACCTCACCCTACTCTCTTCATGTATAAGAATTTCTATCCGGAAGATGGAGATGATGTTTGGATGCACAAGCACACATCCAGTTCTTAACTGGGCAGTATAAATAGCAACAATCACCTCTCTTGTCCTGTAAAGTGCTTTCCATCGACTCTTACAGCGACATTTGAAACCCAGACCCTTATTAAGCAGTGCTCTCACTCAGAGTCAGAACCCAGCCAGTTGTCAGCTTCAGTTCCCACAACTCTCCCAAGCCCACAGCCGCAGGAAACAACACACACCTTATCGATGAAGGCTGCAAACTTGTTGTTGAGACATTTGATCTGCTCCTTCTCCTCATGCTTCACGCACTGGGCGTTGGGGTCGAGCTCCAGGTTGAGGGGCGTGAGCAGGCTCTCATTGACTGTCACGGTGGTGATGCAGGGAGGGCTGGGCCCACAAAGGCCACCTGCCCGGTAACCAAAGCTGCCACCACTTCTCAGGGGACGGCTGCAGCTCACTGCAATCCGGGGGGACCCCACGGCGCACAGGCTCCGGCTGCCGAAGCCGCTAAGGCGCCTGTAGCCTGGCCCCCCAGGACTGCCCCCTCGGTAAGCTACCGCACTGACACAGCTGTGAGCCCCAGGCTTGGGCAGGACGGCCGAGCAGGAGCTGAAATTGCGGACATTGCAGCCAGAGCTGATGCGGTAGGAGCGGCTGGCCATGCCTCGCTCTGCAGTATGTTCCAGAGAGAGGAAGGGACCTGAAAGGATACAAGGTCTGAGGTCTCACGCAGACTGTTAACGATCCTGCCTTTTATCAGGCAGAGGACAGGCCTCCTGACAACATAAAAGGTAGGAGAAAGTTATTAATGACATTTATGAGCGTGGGAATCTCCCACTACATAGAGAGAGAGGAAAGCTGAAACTTGCCCCTTTTAATAGACATCTGAAGGAGACCCTGCATTACAATAAACTTGCCCCCTGCTTTTTCAACCCCACAGGCCTGGGCATATCTGTTAAGTCCCTAATTCCCCTCAGTCCTGTAAGTAGATCAGGCATCATTAACCCACACAGGCAAGTAGAGGCATGGACCAGCACAGTCCTGAGACTCAAAGGGTCCTATGTCCCACCAAGCTTTATCTGACCCGTCCTCCAAGGTGCACACAGGTTTCTACCCAAGACAGCAAGGACATTCAACCTCTCCTTCCAGCTTGATGTCATACAAAGGCTGTAGGGACACCAGGCCATCCTTCCACATTGAATCCATGGAGAATGTGTGACTTTAAGCCTTTCCTTACTATGGCTCTTAATTATGCTCCGTCTATAGAACAGGCTTATTGATGAGTCTCCCTCTGATCCTGAAGGCTGAAGTAGGCTGAACATAGATATAACATAACCTGGCACAACCTTGCTTGCTTAAAGTGAGGAGAACTTAAAGCACTTAATGACTTCAATATGGATTGCATCTCAACTTCAAGAAAAAAAATTCTCACCACTGGCCCAATAGGCCTCATTATGGTAGATGGAGAAAAGAATGAAATTGTCAACAACTTCATCTTACTTAAATCCACAATCTACGCCCTTAATACCAGCAGTCAGGAGTTCAGGAGATGTATTACACTGAAAAAGTCTTCAGTCAAGGATCTCTCCAAATTATCTGAGGAGTTTTATTTTATTTTTCAAATTAATAATTTGTTTAACTATTAGTTGAGGAGCAATGATGTCAGTTTGAGGACTAAGGTGTGTCTGCTTTGGATCTTTCTGATCACTTGCTATGCATATGAGAGCTGGAAAATGAATGAAGATGCCAGAAGGATTAATGCCTTTGTACAGTTATGTTGGAGAAGGGTACTGAACATTATATGGACTAACAAAAGAACAAACAAATATGTTTTGGAGAAAACGTTCATCTCGCATACTTTGGGCATGTTGCTAGGAAAAGATGTTCCTTGATGTGGAGTATCGTGCCTAGAAAGCTAAAGGTATGGTGAAAGAGAGGAAGACCCTCAGCCAGATGGGTTGACATAGTAACTGCAGCAATGGGCTCAAATGTGTCAGAGATGGTGAGGATGGCACAGGACAGGACAGCGTTCAGATCTGTTGTCCATAGGGTCACTATGGGTCATATTTGACGTAATAACACCTAACAACAACATAGTATAGGAAGTTCTAGTGGTGTAGTCAGTAGGAAATGGTGCTGCCAACCCAAAGGCAAACCTATCTGGAGGTTTGAATCTACTTCCATCAGCTCTGCAGAAGAAAGATGGACAATCTCCCCCATAAATTTAACACCCTCAGAGGGTCAACGATGAGACAGTTCTGACTTGATGGCAATGAGTTTATAGCATGGCTATTGGGGCTTATAAGCCTCCTTTGAAGATGACAATAATGTCTTCTGCACTTTTATATCCCTGGTGGCAATTTGTGCATTTTCCTTAGGAAGTGTTGGCTGAATTAAATAGACTAGACCCCAAAGGGACGTCTGATAATTGGAAAGTGACTTCTATCACCTCCATATGTGTGTGTGGAGCTGCTTCTCTGACCTGTGCCAAGCCCTGTAGCTGACGTTAGAGAGTTTCTGTGGTGGAGGCTCAGACAAGTCAACAAGAAAGGCTTTCGTCCAACAGGCCAACATGGAGGTTCCCACGAGAAGCAGAGTCCCAGTCTAGATGCTGAGAGAACAAAGCTGGTAGGAGAACTGCCCTTGAAGAGCATGTGCTGTCACCGGGGAGATCAAAGGAGAAAACATCCACAGCAAAAGGTACAGATGAGGAGCAGAGGTGAAGAACATGGGCAGTGCTGTTGGCTTTCTGGGGAAGGACACACAAGCACACAGGAGGGTCACCATGGAGGGAGGCCTGGGAGGTTCCTACAGGATGGTCAGAACAGATGCCAGGACTGGTTCCCAGAGGGACCGCTCAGTGCTCCAGATCCTGCACAAAGCCAAGACTGTAGGCAAGGGGCTGCTCACCTCAGCCTCTGGGGCCTGGTCACTGAGCCTCACCCTGCCCCCAGCCCCATTTCACACCCAGGAACAGCAGGGTACAAACAGAACTGAATGGGTGTCTGCCTTTTTTATATACTATCAACAGCAGACCCAACTATGATTATGCCAGCATCCTTGGCTCTTAAGTAAAACTGTCAAGAAAACAATTCTCACCACTGGGCCAATTGGCAGCATCAGTATGGATGGTGAAGAGATTGAGATAACAGTTTTAGTTTACTTGGCTCCACAGTCAACACTCTTGGTAACAGCAGTCAGGAAATCAGGAGATGAATTGCATTGGGAAAGTCAGCTGTGAGGGACCTCTCAAGAGTACTGAAGAGTGATGACATCAGGCTGGAGACTAATGTGCACCTGATCCAGGCTATAGTCTTTGCAATTAGATACTATGCATCAGAGAGTTAGACAGTGAATAGGGAAGACTGATTAATAGGACAGTGAATAGGGAGAATTGATGCCTTTGAGCTGTGGAGCTGGAGAATAGTGTTGAATATACCATGGACTGCTAGGAGAACAAACAGGTTTGTCCTGCAGAAGATGAAGCCAGGCTGCTCCTTGGAGTAAAGGATTCTGAAGCTTCATCTGACATACTTTGGGCATGTTGCAAAGAGGGACTGTCCTTGGAAAGGGACATCATGTTTGGCAGAGTGGATGGGCAGCAAATGAGAGGAAGACCTTTGATGAGATGGATCGATTCTGTGACTGGAATTGTGGGAATGAGTGTGTTTGAGATAACTATGTTGGCATAGGATAGAATGACATTTAGGGCTCTTGTACATAGGGTCTCTATGCAAGCAAGTCGATGGCACATAACAACAACAACAACAACAACAACAGAGTATCTGTGCATGGATGCAAGAATGAAAACTCACCTCTGCCTTGCATGTGGACTTCCAAGCTGTAAAACAACCCAGTGGTAGATGGAATTTGGCCCAGGACTTAAGAACAATAAATGACATAGTTGAGCCTCTACATCTTGTGTTTCCTAACCTTTATACTATAATAGACAAAGTGCTAGTCAATAGGCCTTTTATTTTAAGAACTACCTTCCCTCTGTACCTTGATTTGTGCCACTGTTAGAACCTCTACTTGGAATATTATTGCTTTTAATTTTTGACTCATGTACTTTTAACTTGTTAAATTTGTGTCTTCTAGGCTGCAACAGTTCCGTGATACATCTTCAAGGATATGAACATATGTACAGCTAAGCACAATTGATAACAGTGCATCTAAATTCCAAAATCAATCTCCACAATAAATAGTCTACATGTTTCCTATTGCCAAAGGGGCCCTTTAGAGTAGTGAGAGAAGATCTTCACCCTGAAACCTACAGTGTCCCTTTTCAGCAGGAAGTAGCTAAGAGAATATGCCGAATTTCCTTATGAATCAGGGTGAAGTCTCTCTCAGGGAGGAGTGATAGGGAATGGCAAAGGACACACTGACAAAGGAGATTAATCAGAACTGGCTTTGACAAGCACTGTGGCAATGGGACAATTAAAACAGACTTTCGGGGGGGGAGGAGCAAACTGGGGGGGAGGGTAGAGAAAATAGTGTAACGATGAATGAATGGAAACCCAAAAACTCTGTAAATGTTCATTAAAGTTAATAAAATTTAATTTTTAAAAAAAGAAGAATGAAAATTAACCTTCTGCAACTTTCTCTTAGAGAAACAGACCAGGGAGGGGACAAGGAAAGAGCCAAATGGAGCAATAGAGAGTGGTGAGGATCCCTGGTGTCTTTTGTCACACACACACACACACACACACACACACGACTTTAATGTACTAAGATAACTTCATATTGTAGGTAGGAATGGGTCAGAAGGAATAAGGCCCAGCCTGGCCTAGGTAAGTACTAGATTAAGAAGACAGCTTTGTTTCTCCACTTGAAGAACAGCGCTCTTTAAGGATGAGCCTCAGTCAACGGAGGATAGGCTGAAAAGACACCCTGGAAACTGGATTCTTGCAGAAACAATCTGAATCATATGGTAACGTGCGTGGAGACTGTTTTGTGGGTTGTACCAAACGGACCATGGGGATCTCTTGTGACAAAATAGAACTGTCCCATAGGGTTTCCCAAACTGTGTGATCTTTACAAATGGACATCATCAGATCTTCCTTCAGCAGGACTGCTGGGTGAGTTCAAACTGCCAATTTTGCCTCCACTTACTGCTGCACCCAGACCACTTACAGCGCAGACGATTTCCTGGAACCCATCTCCCCAGAAGGAGCTTTAGTGCTGGCCCGTCAGAACATTCTGAATTATGGCCTGGACTCCTTTATCTCCACGGCATTCAGATCTGTTGTTCATAGGGTCGCTATGTGTTGTTGTTGACTTGACAGCACCTAACAACAGCAACAACAACATATAATAACTAAGGGTAGGTGCTCTAAGTAAATACACACGTTCTTCAAACCGTATAATGATTCCTATGATGAACAAAAGTATGAGGTAGGCAGGGGTGGGGAGGTGGGGCAGTCTTCCCTGATGAGGGATAAGATTTTATCACAGATGTTGTTTAGAATTGTTATTATTTGGTGGTAATATAGAAGCAGACTAATATTTCAGTTTGCTTTTTTTTTTAATCTCTACCAAAAACATACACCCCTTTAATGGCTCACACCCAGGGCAGACCAAGCCTCTACTGTCTTCCTTCCAACTCATACATCACTAGATGGCTTGAAAACAGATACTTGTTCACCTAACAATATTCCTAAAG